TGCAATCGACACCGGTTCATCAACACCCCCGACACTTACTGGCAGGCCAGGCTTAATATTGAATTTGTTGGTGGCCATCCAAAATTTCTTAAAATTATTATTTTTATGATGAGATGCCAAAATGTCTGACTTTATTTTTTCCTGATGTCTCTGACACCATTTCAGTTTGCTTTTAAATATTTTACGACTTAAAGACATTTCATTGTACACGAGTCCAGATGTTGGTTTATTATAGGAGAGCCAGATCTGATATTTAAGCCTGGCCTGTCTGTGAGCCTCTCGTACGTATTTATTCCAGCCCGTTATCTGTCGATATTTATTTGAACGACGCCTAATATTATATGTCTGCTTGGCTGCATCAGATAGAACATTTACAATACTCATATACATGTCATCGATTGGTCGCAAGTGCTCCAAATTTTTACAGTGTGTATCACCACACATCTCAAAATGTTGAGGATAATCTATTTGCCGTAGCTTAATATTACAGAGTTGAGAATATTCCTTAATCTGATCAACATCCCTCTCACCCCATATTACTTTACTATAACTAGCATTGTTTGGACGTACCGTCGATTTAATGATATTCAAGTTACAAGTTAAGATAATGGGAAAATGATCAGACCAAAAAACATCATATATCACATCAACATTAGCGATAGTGTTAAAAGCAGACTGTGTTACAACACAATGGTCTAGCCACCGCCTACACCCGTGCGCCTCACTGATGTAGGTATAACATCCAGATTCAATACCTAATTTTATTGTGTCCGAACACAACCAGTCCTGTTCTTCACAAAAATCTATAAGTTCATTGTAAAAAGACTCACCCGGATGAGCATTATAGTCACCTAACATAAAAACAGCTCCACACTCACTAGAATCGATAATTGAGTTCATTTCACCTAAACATTGTGTGAATTCAACTAGGTTTTCAACAGAATCTGTAGGCATATAAATACTAACCTCTATTATTGAATAGTCACTTAGATTAACTTTAATGGCAATAAGACGCGAACTAACACACTCTATCACACTTATAGATTTAAAGACATGTTTACGCCACAAAATTGCAACACCGCCATACGGTCTCCCTCTCAGTATACCAACGGAAGTATCCACGGCTGATTTCCCGGTGTAATCAAAATCATGGTGTATTTGTCCCAAGAACGGTAAATCTTCTGGTAGAAGCCATGTTTCCTGAAGAGCTACAATGTCAGCCGATTGACATAGTGTCCGAATCTCGTCGATAGAACGCTTCACAGATTTGCAATTAAAACTTATAAGCTTACACTTATCCATTAAGTTTCATTAGATATTTGCTTAGTGGCTTTTATTTTGTACTTATCACGTACAAACCGCCGAAAAGAAACTCCATCTGGCCAGAGATCATCGTTTAAAAATATCTTTAATTTGCTTTTAGGTATATACAACTTAAACGAATTATAATTTGTTGCAGTTTGTCTATTGATTTTATATAGACTCACTTCTTCATTAGTGTTATTCTTTATGTATTCTAAAATGTCATCCTCGGTCGTGTGCTTTGACACATTCGATATAAAAATAGGCAATTTGATGTCCGCCGCCTTGAACTTTCCGTCCGGCTCGATGTTAGCTTTTCCAATCTTGATATTTGTTAATTTATTTTTTCGCTTTTTATACTCAACCTTTTTCCAACCATCATTCATATTTTGACTGCGTTGACCAACAGTATCACGTAAAGTCTCAGCCGCAGTTTTCTTTGTGATAGGTGTTATGCTACTAATGTTTTCTCTTGAGTTGTTTCTGCTTGACCTTTCCGTAAGAGACCTGTTTATTATCGACTGGTCTGTTTTACAGGTAGTCGATATTCGCGCGATTTTATCTGTAGGTGCGAGAGAAACAGCACTATCTTGACCTTGCATACGGTATCTTGGTAGCTTGGTGAATGTGCGGTAACAGAAATGGGTACCCGCTCCGCGGTCACGCAGCCAATATTATGACAAGTCGGAGTACCCTCAATATTTGGAGAAAAAATATTTTCACTGTTTTGTATGATCTGAGGGCTAGGTGTATTTTCTATAGATTGTTGTAATGCCATTGGACCACTGTCAAAAGTATTCACCTCAACATTTCGATATGTTGCTCCTCTCCGTGTGTTTATAAAATCATTGACAATGGATGCCTTCTTGAGTGCTTCAATTTCATTTTTTACCTCCAAAAGCTGGCTAGATGTAACATACTCCTTAGGGAATGACCTTACTTGTACTTGTAATAAAATGATGTCCTTTAACAATTTGGTTACATCGACGTGGTCAAAGGTTACCGGTGGTAATTTTTGTAGGTCGCGAACTACGAAGGTAGGCACCAGTTCAGGATCAGTTTGCTTCAATAGACTTATAATGTCGTCGATATCACGCACGTTCTTTCCTTTATTTCTTCGAATTACACGTTTTGCAGTAGGCACTGATTCAAATAAAAGCCGTTTCGACACCACTATATCCTCTTCAGAGAAACAATCGCAGCAAATTCGAACAAGGGACTCTTCATCCATAACATCCGCTTTATTTTGAATAAAGGCTAGCAGTTCGTTGATTACGATATTACAATTTGCACATTTTATTGTGTACGTCGCCATCACGTATCGCACAGTTAGTGCATCTTTGCGCTGTCACGTCCGCCCACGATGACGAGCGAGATCAATTATTAATCACAAATGTTTCAGTCGGCTCGGCCGGCGTGTAGTGGCGAGTAGTAAATTTGTACCCATGAAGCGCAAAGTAGCGACCGACTCCCTCCCTCATTTGCCTTACGCCTCGCTACATACTCATTCTCTTAACCTCACCTCAAATGTAACCTCGCGAGTACCTCATGAGGTAAAACGAGGTCCTCACTCATCCTCAATAAAAACGTGTCTATTACACAACACTAAGCAGTGCTTAGTGTTAAGTAGTGACTTAATCGTCCCGACAGTTCACTAATTTTCACTTCGGATCCCGCTTGTATTTGCATTCAGTTTCATTCAGTTCACTTGTCACTGAAATAATACGGCGTCGAGTATTAATAGGGGCTGGATCCACATCTAGAATGTTCTAGGTTGACATCGGCCCTCCTGGTGTATTCGAGGCATTACCAAAAAATTCTAGAACGGCTACCCGTTTCTTACTTCCCCAGTCGCTGTCCCTTTCTTGCGACGTCTATATCACTCGCGTAGTTTCAACGGCGCATAATACCATCTAGCAACGACCAGACGAAACATCACCCTACTGCGCTCTGTTACACTAGTCACATTTATTCATTATAGAAACTAGTGGGGTTTAAATATACTTAAACCCCACTAGTTTCTATAAGTTAAATGTTATATGTCTTTGTTTTCTTAAATTACTCGAGTATTTTCATATTTAAACATGAAACGACTCTGAGAAAAGCATAAACTGCTTTATCATACATATTTTTTTTATTAAATCATTAAGTAGGTTTATTGTTCCAGGTACGGTAGAATTTGTGCGAGAAATCATAAATTAGAATCACAAACATTCGAATCTGTATGCGAGATGTGGCGCTATGATTGCAAGGAAACCCAAGGTTTGTATGACGACCTACCGAAATAAAACTACCGAGAAGTATTTTGTAGTACAGTTTTGTAATACAAACAATATTTTGTTTAAGGCATAGATTATATACACAATGACATTGACACCAAGATAGTTTTAATACAAAATCTCTATCTCTAATATAAATATGGTTTTATTAAAAATTTCAACACCTTCTCTTAATCAACTAAACATTACTTTCTAATAGAAAATTAAATATACTAATACTTCATTCCATATTGTCCGTCCTTAAAATCATGATGTCCAGTTTGCTTTAATAGTTTGTTTTAATTTTCAAATCGATGGTTGTCAAGTTTTACTATAATAGTAGAGTGTACTTTTGATGAATGAGATCTTATTACTAGTGCTTGCAATGTTTCATTTATATTTAATTTCCTTTGTATCATTAGCAGCTTCGACGTTAGTTCATTGAGCGTTTGATTTTCTTGGGATGTTGATTCCCATGCAGTAACAAAATGTTTATACGGCGTTAATAGTGACGTAATAATTTTTGTAATCATCATGCTTTCGAAAATATTTTCTCTGGTTTCTTGAAGATATTTTAGATTTATTCTAATTTAGTAATTTAAACATACTAATTCCCTCATCTACGTACTTTCTGAAGAAGGCGATCTCTAAGGAAAGCCACTCTTCTAGGCTCTTTGCTAAAGATCTGGAACAGTACTCTCGGCCAGTGACCTTTTAAATAATATGGTGATCGGTGAATCAATCATATCAGCAGTCCTAATAAGGAATATTGCTGGAAGTTGGCCTGGCCCAGCTGATTTGGCAGGATCCAATTATTTACGTGACATATGACGTACCTACCTCGACTTATTAGTCGAGGCAGGTACGTCATAACGTCGAGAAGTTAACGTCGAAACCGTTTCAAAAAGTGCATTAGCCACGGGTACCTAACGTTTGATTAGAAGATGGTATTAAGAATGTGGTAAAGAAGTAGTCTGAGAAAGCTTCGCACATAGATCCACTCATGTATAAAGTATTAGTGCTGTATTTGAGAACGCTTGGTAGCGAGTTTTTTTTTCCTTAATTATAAAATTAATGACTAAAACTGTTTCTGGTTGGTCTGTATAGACTGCTCAATATATTTCTTATAGCATTCCGTCTCTAACTTTTTTGCGCGGTACTGTAGCTGTTTAAAGGATTCCTTGTCAGATCGATTGCGATGTTTATTAAATTTACTTAAATGTTTCTTTCTTCTTTAAAATATTCTAGCGCCGGCGCGCCGCTGAGTAGCAGTTAGGATAGCAACCACTTGAAATACGCTTCATTGGTACAAATTTATCTCTTAATGTCCTGAAAGTGTCATAGAAAAAAGAACCAGAATAGAGTTCAGTTAACCAGTCTCTTTTAGATAGTTCGTTATTAATGGAATAATAATCGTCTTTATTGAAAAAAACTTAGAAAATGGCGCAGGCCTCAGGGGACTATAGTTGTCGATATCAATTTGAATGCAAAGGGCAGCATGATGGAGATCGGCTGGCAAAGATAAAGGATCGTTACACTGCTGAACAGATACAGACTCGGTACACAGCACTATGTCTAAAATCACCCCAAAGCCGTTTTTGATGCCATTATATTGCCTAAGCCTTGCGGAATGAGAACACTTATCCCGCAAAACATATCTATTTGGACTTAAGGAACTATCACGGTCAGTTGGCGAACAGATGATATGGCCCATATTATAGTCACCTATTAGTAAGCTGTAGTGAAAAAGAATAACCTAGATTTTGATCAATGAAATATAATACGCCTATGTATAGCCTAAAATTTACTTTATGAGTTGTAACTGAAGCTGTGATTTAATCAATATCTCCCTGCGTGTCGCTATAAGAACTCCTCCCCCTTGCTCTGCTGCGTAAACGCATAGTTCCTATCACGCCGCCATACAACATACCTACTCTCGAAAACTCTGTGTCCGATATGCTTCAACCAACTAAGTTTCTTTGTTCAACCTTCCATCTAGTCTTTTATAAAATCTTCCATTTTAAACCTTTATTTTCATTGGCCATGACCTGTTTGTTTAAAATTAACAATAATTTTTTTAACTAAATATAATAAACATAAACAACTTTTTGCCTAGTTTCTCGAAGAAAGAGCTAATCATTTGCGTTTTTTTGAAGTGATGCATTTTTGCGATTAATTAATCTATATGTTTCAACAGATATGGTTACCGTTTTCGAAGAAAAAAATCTAGTCTAATATGTATATTTTCATTTGATTGTTTTCAGGATGGGCAGTGATATATAGAGGCGAGTGCAGACCTGATCTGATAGTAATCACAACACTTCCCTCGAGTACAGTCACACCACTTCCTTATCCATCAATGGCTGCGGTATACTTGGCAGAATTCGAACAAAGGCATCCTAACCTATAGCTTTTAATAAACAAAAACACTCAATATTAATATAAAAATTATATTTCTTTTAAAATCCAGTTATATATTTTCTTCTGCCTATCAAAGTACTGACAGACATGCTTATTAATGGCACGCTTTCGTATTACTAATGAGCATATCTGTCAGTACCTATTGCTAAAAAATATGCTCAAAACGAGCATGATTATAACTGTACGCAAATGCTTATTTTAGGCATAATCATGAATAAACATACAAAATGCAGGATCTTGGTTAAAATTGACGTTTTTATCTTGGTTTTATATTGTATATAAAAGATTAATATCATTAAATTTGGGTCGTTCATATCTTGTAATAAATTTTCTTAAGCATCATTTCGTGTTATATTATTTTTATACAATGTCGAACTAATGTTCCATAAACACTCATTACTTCAATTATAAGTGACAAATTTAAATGTTTTGTCTTCTCTCCAACGCGCCGTTTTATAACATATCACTAATTTAATTATACGTATAGATTTTGATATGCTTCCAAGCCGTGATCCTGTTTAGAAGCAGCAGAACCCTTCCACACGCGTCTCAGAAAGCATTATAAAAAAAGTAAAATAACGTAAATCAGTAATATCACAAAATCTATCGTTATGAGAAAATGCTTTTGCGTGAGTAGCTCGGTGGCGTAGTGGATAAGCGCCGCGGCCCACGTTCGTAGTCGTTAAGCAACTTTCGCAAGGGTCGGTCACGGGATAGGTGACCAAAAAATTAGTTTCTCGAACTACTCCGTGCTTCGTTGCAGTCGTTAATACCCTCCAATCCGCATTGGGCCAGCGTGAAGGGTCATGGCCCATCCTCCTTAACCATCCATAAGAAAGGCCTGAGCTCCTGCAGTGGAGAAGTAAAAGGGCTGATAGAAGGATGATGGATGTTAATTGAAAGAAATTTTTTTCCTTAACTATTGCGCCGCAATTGTATTAATATTTTATAATATTTAAGGTAATAAAAACAAAAAGGATTTTATACCACTACAATCATTGCAATAATCCCGAATGTTTTGGCTGTATTTTAACATCCATCGCCATCTGAATAATAACATTTTACCACTTTGTTCTAGTAAGAATTTAGAAGATTTTTTTATAAGTAAACGTTTAGAATGCTTTTTTTAATCTTAGCCCATTTTATGCAAACTATTAATGTAAAAAATAATGCCATAAGAGTAAATTTAGTACTGTCATAATTAAATTATTTATTTTATTTATTTATTTGAGCAACCAACAAGGTTAAACACTGTACATGCAAATAAGTGAATTATCCTTACAAATGTTATTTTTCTATCTTTTTCTCGTTTACGCGCTCTGGTTGTCGCTTGAGTCTGAGCATTATATTCGTACCTTTAAACTGGCCTTTTATTTTCGATCTTTTAAAATTATTATTATTTGTCTAATTGTATGTACAATCGGCTGTTTATTGTTCTATTTTCCATGTAATGCTAGGTTACCTGGAAGAAATCGCTGGCTAGCGATGAGTTTGTCGTTAGTACTTAGTTATGTGAAATAAATATTCATGTATCTCCTTGTTGTGCAGTATTTACTTACTTATTTAACTGCAATTTAAACCGAATTCGCTAACCCACTATGCCATTAGACCTCTTATACCTAAGATATACTAATATTATAAAGAGGAAAGATTTGGTTGTTTGTTTGTTTGCTTCAAATTTGCTCCAAAACTACTGGACCGATAGTTTCAGAGCGATTCCGACCTACGGGAAGCTACACCAGACGCGGATGTCATAGGCTATAATTTTGCGGCAAAGTCCATTGTTTCCAGCGAAGACTAAAAATACCAACTTTGAAGTACGTATCTACAGCAATTTGTTTGTTAAAAAAAGAAACAAAAAGAGTATAAACATAAAAAATAGTAATAAGAGAAAAAGATATATATAACTCTAGTTGTCTTTACGTTCTTAACTTCAGTTGACGTAAATCTAACTGTTACCTGGAAAAGAAACAGGGGCTGAGTAGGATTCTCCTCCGTGAACCCGAGAGTGAGCTGCCCAGTGGGTCCCCGGAGGTTTACCCACTAAAACCCGTACGCTACACCCTCTTATGGGAGATGAAACCCGGCAAGCTATGGCCGAGTCAGCAGGACACTTAAGTATTTGACCAATGGTACCCTTGCAGATGGTAATCTGGAGAGGCTCGGGTAAATTGAGTGCCTCTCCCAGACAGACAAAATGCAATGCAATGCGGGGGCGGCTGCCAACCACCTCCGCTGACCCCGACGACGACGTGAACCTAATCTGATAAAAATATGCATTCACTGTAAACTACTCTATGCTTAGTTGCATCATCGGAAGGCTCTTTTCGCTTGTTCTCCTACTCGTGAGCTCGTATAACACATGACCATTATAAGCTGAACCCTATTTACTATGATTGGTTATATATAAATGAGGTCCACTTACTTTGGCGTAGTCAAAATTTTGGAATCTTATTTTTTTATTATTTGTCATCATACAAATAATAATTTTATAGACAATGTGGCGCTACGGATAAGCGGCGCTACGCACGATCGCTATTGCTAAGCAATTTTAGCAAGAGTTATTCACGGGATGGGTGACCAAAAATTATTAAACAAAGGCCTGAGGCCCTGCAGTTTGGCTGTAAAAGAGTTAATGATAATGATCAATATATCAAAGACGAAAATTTAATAAGACGTTTAATATTTCATAGCAATTTTGGCGAACACGTCAATTCAAATTGACATAACTTTTTATTTGTGAACCGATTGAAATAAATCTTCTATTAGTGTTCTATTAAGTGTTCTATTACGCTTATAAATGTCCCTCATAACAGTTTTTTCATATATCTTCAAAGTACAGACATCGATCAGTTACGTTTTTATTATAGTATAGATTATGTTTTTATCACCTATAAGTATATTATAAAATATTTATACTATTGCCGCGCAATAGTTTAGGAAAAAGATTTTCTTTCAATTAACATCAAAAGCATTTTACTCATAACAATAGATTTTGAGATATAAAAGGTTTTACGTTTTTTTAAAAATTTTCTACAAAGTTACAAATTTATAATTACCACTTCATTCCCCAAATGGTACGATATATACTCAGTCTTACCATAAATATTGTTGTTATATAGAAAATCAACATTTTGTCATCAAACGTAACATTTATTTCTGTTACAGTTATATAAGCCATTAAATATATATATAGCTTATTCGAAGTGGTCTCCGTTGTCTGCAATAAAGTTCTTAAAACGTTGAAGCCGGTTATCAATAGATCCACGCACTATAGCCATTGAAAAATTCTTAACTGCCCGCGTATGAAATCGTACTCTTTAAAACTGACCATAAATCATAATCCAGCGGATTAAGATCTAGATTAAATGAAGGCCAATGTTGAGCTTTGATGAAGTCCGGGACGTTCATTTATAACCATGATGGGTGGATCGAGCTTTATGACCTGGCGCCGAATCTTGTTGAAAGGACCTCTTTGGGTTATTGAATATGGCCTTGCTAAGGGGCTTAACTACCTTTTAGAGAATGGTATGATATGATATACTTATGCCAATGTTTTGATGCCTTTTTCGAAAAAGCTGGTTTGGTTACTACTTCATAGCCAACACCCCAACAGAACATCACTGTATAATCGGATAATGCCCACAATGTAACTTCAAAGAGAGTCAAAAGAGTTCTGACTTAATTAACCAACATTAATATGTTTTATTGATAAAAAAAAACTATCTCTGTTATTTTCTGTTCATATTCTTTCATAGGTGAATGTAGTAAGGTTATCAAATCGAATAAATGGAATATTTAATTCATTGTAATACGTTGTTTTCAATTTTCAAACTCAATTAGATTTTCTTAGCATTAGTTCAACTGAATTCATTTTATTGCATTTTTATCACACAATTTCTAGTCATGTTTTTCTTACTTGTGTTTTCTATTTTGAGTAAGTACTATTATTTTTTTTAAGTATTATAAATATATGTTTTTTATTAATATTGATATTCATTTTGTGAAATCCCGCCTATTTTACCATCTGAATTTTCTACTTTCTTTTCCACAATGCGTGTAAATAATGAGTATAAGTTCAGCTGCAGCGCTGAAAACCTTGACCAAATTCAATGAACAATATAAGTACCAGTTTATTGAGGTTTCTCAGAATTTTTTCGGTTCAATTTCTCGATCATACGAACAATTTCACATTTTGTTTTACAAATATGACCACTTCTAGTAAATAAAGACATGTCAGTGTTAATATTTTCAAAGAAATAAAATAAGGCCTACAAGATATATCTGATGTTATATTGCATACAGCTCTGATACAGCGTTTTTGAGCAATAAATAATGTTGATATATCAGTACTATTACCCCAAATTATTAAGTCGTACCTTAACACTGATTCAACGAACGCAAAGTAGGCTATAATGACAGTATTTAAACTTGAAACTTTGGTTAGTTTCTAGAAAGCATAAGCAAACCCATTTACTTTATTGGATATCTTATATATTTCTTCTTTCCATGTTAATGTTGACGTCACTATTAATCCTAAAATGTAACTCTTGTTGCGTCCCCAAGAATTTGCCCATTAAATAATTTCATATTGATTGGGTTTTAAAATTATTGAAATTCATTGAATAAGTTTTTGATAAATTTATTTCTAAGTTATTATTGTTGTCCATTCATTTATTGGTTTTTAGGTACATTATGTCATTTTAATGAAGAAAAGCCTAAGAAGATTTCTTGTCAGTTGCTATTACTATAGAAATGTCATCAGCAAATAATATAGATTTATGTTTTATTATGTCCGGTAAATAATACTGGGCCCAGAATACCCCTGCGGACAACCAAGATTATTTTGCTTAACTTCAGAATGGTATTTTTAGAGCTTTTTTGATTTATTTCTACATTTTGGGTTCTATTAAAATTTTAACTCTCTAACTATCACGGATCATGAGATATAGCCCGTTGACAGATGCATAGATGCCAGTTGACGGATGGACAACGGATCTCGACTTAGGGTCTCGTTTTTTCTTTATTTATTTATTCTGTATTACCATATTTCAGCAAATGGCGGACTTAATGTTGAGGGCGTTTTCTACCAATCAACCGGTAAGGATATACAGAAGATTTGTAAAACAGTAACATCGATGGAGAAATATTGACAACTTTGTGTAAGAAACGGTAGAAATGGTGTTTGGGGCATAGAGCAGCACCACACCTCCCCCTATCGTACCATCGGCAAAGGCTATAGTCCAGTCGCGCAACCGAAAGAATTTCGTACAATGACCCGGCAATGCATATCTCTTTGCACGGATGCATCTAGGTATTTTTTCATAGTACAATAAACCTATTTATGATATCTATCAACGCAGACGCACAATGTTCATATGGCACAGTACAAAATTCTCTGTGTTTGGCGACCGGACTATAATATCCCTTACATCGACTATATTCTCTATTACGTTTCAGAGAAATGTCATCTACACGGAAGAAGAGATAACGCAATTAGGTATTTTTTTTTTCTTAAGACTGCGACTAATGGCAAAGAAAAATATATGAAGTTTACTAGCCAACTCAACTGAATCAGCCAGCCAGACAAAAGATGAGAAGATGAATTGTGCTAAATAGAGTCTCAAAAAATATTTTTGAGAAATTGCTCTTAAATTTCATAGATATGGCTTATGACAATGTATTCTTTTCACAACAAAAACAAACAAAATTTACCACGGGAGTTCACCGTATCGAAGTTTAATAATTAGTGACTGTTAGAATGTGATTAGAATGCTCATTATTAAATAATTAAACACAATTAATATTGACAGACCGACACCAGATTTGTCTATCTTAGAACGACAAATCGGTATGGAAAGATACGACCCATTGGTGACATCGAGAAACGAGAAAAAGCATTACTACCCAAATTATGGTTATGAGCCATATTGGGCTGACGGTGAATTCATGATCAAGCACCCTGATTATGACCTAAAACCTGGCCAAAGCACCACAAAGATGCCGCTTGTTTGTGGAGAGGAGTGCGGTTACATTTTCTTAAGGTATGGACGAGGACAGTTGTTACTTCTATTCGACCTGCAGTACTATGCGAACGAATGTAATTATTATTATCACTATCCACTATTTTTTCGCTCAGTAATCATGTAATAACCGTAAATCTTTTATTAGTACGTAAATGTGATAACTTATAATTTGTTGATTGCCTTGCCAGTAAAACCTTCACTTCAATTCGATCTTAGGCCAGGTATTTAAATAGAACTTATATAATAAAAACCACTGTTGTGTCTCAAGGGTGAGACATTCGTGTGCAAGTAAGAGACAATAATGATAATTGATAGATACAATGATAAAGAGGATGTTTTGAGAAAATAGTAAAAGAAGACGGCCGAGTCGAATGGTTACAATATTACTACCTACCTTAGGTTTAGGCAGTTCGTTCTCACTCATGAGAGGGAGATCTACCCCCGGCCAGGTTTAATGATGGCTATTTTGCGCTTTAGCCATTCTGGGCTATACTCCTCTTGAATAATGATAAGCAACCAGCCCGGCTTAAAATTGCAAGCTTCTAACTTTGGTGTCGCTTCACCTTCACCTCTCAAACCCTAACACATTCACAGGTTTTACTCACACTTAAATATATTTCCTGCGCATAACACAAGATTTTTGTTATCGATATTGTATGAAGAATAAGCAGCAAGTAGTACTGCCCATGGCCGCGGGAGTAGTATCGCTTCATAGGTAAAACGGTCCGCTACATATAACTTTATAGTAGTGCTGTCTACTTTAGATAAATGGCGTTAGTACTAGTTATACTAATGAATCATTAAAATCATGAATCGAAGGACCAAAATATGTAGGGTGTAGCCCTACACGTTTAATTGCTAAATGATAACAATAGTAATTAATAGGATTGATAGCTGATAGAATGATAAAGAGGATTGTCTGAGGGAATAGTATAAGAAGACGAAAATGATACAACCGAGTCGAATGGTTACAATATTCGAACTAATTTATTTTATGTTAAATGCGACAGTATACAGAAATGCTTACTCATCATAATACAAATTTACAGTAATTATAAAGGTGCTGCAAACAGCATAAAATGTGCGGTAAACCGTACAGTAAATGAGATAATTTATAATTTGTTGATTGCCTTGCCAGTAATACCCTCACTTCGATTCGATCTAAGGCTGGTTATTTAAATAGAACTTATGTAATAAAAACCTATGTTGTGTCTCAAGGGTAAGACATTTGTGTGCAAGCAAGAGTACTATATACTGGCTGCCGTATTGTTACGGTACTAGTTGCTACGGTCACATTGTCCCCGATCTCACGAAAGAGTACAGGGATTTCAACTCCTACTGTGAGCTACTGAACGCGAATTGCAGGCTATCTCCCACAGAACGTAAGTTCATTTTCATTGACCTACTATATTATATAAAATGAGAAGAACTTAAAAGAAAAGAAAGGAAGACTGGGTGCAAAGTGTCGGCAGTAAATACTTTTTTATTCCAGATATATCCACTATTCAAGCTATCAATGCTGATGTGGCAAGTTAATGGTAATAATATATATTTTAACAAGTAAGGCTTGAAAATATCAGTTTAAATTTTGAAGGCACTTAATTAGAATTAAAATCTTTATAGCGACAGAAAATAGGGGTAACATTATGAACGCCTGCAAACAATACACAGCTTTCTGTAATAAAATCAGACAAAATAGATGCCAAACTTAGAGCTATAACAGCATAGAGGTTCAATCATATTAAACCTACTTCTTCTTCTTTCTATAAGCGTCACCGCAACTCGACGACAAAATTGGGCCCGTTTATCTTATGGAGGGTGTATGACCAGAAGTTATTCAAACCAGTCCAGCTCTGCCAAGAACGCTCCTAGTGCCTTCATATCTGCGATGGCTTCCTGGAGGTTGCCCGGCGAGCCGAGATTCTTTGTCCGGTAGTTGGCTACTTCGTTGCATTCCAAAAGGACGTGAGCGGCTATTTCTTCTGCCTCCAATCATCATCCTCGGGGCTGTCATCTAGATTAATTAGGTGCCTGTTAAAGTTGCCATGATCTTGCCGTCTTCTTGCTTAACTTGGCCTCCCCGTGTCACGTCCGTAACTACTTCCGCATATGATGCTACTTTTCTTCTTCTCTTTTCCGCAAATTGGGCATCTGTCTTGTCTCCATATTTACTACTTCTCTTTCCGTTATTTCTTCTTCTGAGATATCGATTATCTCATCCTCCGTATCCCTCTCCTGTTCGGCTGGTGTACCGTCTTCCCTCTTTTGTCTCTTTATTCTGACATTCCTTTGGTATTCGGCGACATTGGGAGTATTCTCCTTTACTTGTGGATTGCCCTGTTGGAATGCTTGTTCCTTGTCCGCCACTGTCGAGCTCCGGTTCCTCATGAACTGACTTGTTCCTCATGAAGATCCTATTCTATCGTATTTTCCCTGCTGTCTTCCGGTGGAGCTTGACCCCACTATCTCTTCTCCTTTGTCTACCTCGTGTGTTCATAAGTTTTGAGACGAAAAAAAAATGCGTAACTTTTTCATAATAAACTTATATTTCTACAATTTTCAGTGACCACTAAATAGATAATAATCAACAATAAAATATATATTTTATTCAAAATGACCACTAGGGTGTACCGATTTTTTTTTTTCGATTTTCTCTACTCAAGGCCCCCAAAAACCTCAAAAGTTACGTTATTAGGTGTAGAAAATCATAAAAATAATAAAAATATAAAAAGATATCTTGAGGACTCTACCGACATTTTTATTAAAAAAAATTATTTAATTAACCGTCCAGTCAATGTCGCATAAACTATTTTATATACATTACTCTCATTTTTTTTTATTTTATTGATAATGAAGCCCTAAACTACGATTTGCAGGTATTTTCAAATAGGATTTGTTTTGGATCCAACTCGCAAAATTCGTGTTTTGATTTGTTTTTCTCAAATTCTCTACTTCTACGGTAAGGCAGTTCGTCTCATTTCTATTGCAGTTTCATTACTGTAAAGTATCGCTCAGTACTTTCTTGTGATAAAAGACGTGTTTGTCTTACATTTTAATAATGGGTTGAAGACGAAGTGAGGCTACTTGTGCTATTTTTGGATCTTATAAAAAACTTGATGATCACCAGTTACCAGTCATAAGTGACGTTATCGAATTCATTTTGTTTACTAAAAATGATTAGAAACAACAGAAGAATGGGAAAGATCCTTTTAACTCAGAAGTTTTTTTAATCGTTTCTGAAAAACTTAGTGCGATTTGGACTAAAGCCTCAATTTTCACCGTTTCCAATATACGAGTTATCGTTTCCAATATAATTGCTGAAATCATATTTCGACAAATACCTGTTATTGACAAGATATCCCAAAAATAAAAGAAATGATAGCTACGAAAGCATAGTGAAGTGTTTTTTTAGAATCATCTAACAAGCTTTTCGATATTGCTGCTTGTAAGTGCACTTCATTTGACATTTGTTCCAGCATAAAACCCAAGAAAATTCCTATTTCTGAAAGAGACTTTTTACTGGACCGAAGAATTGATATAAGAATGGCAATAAACGGTATAGACACAAAAGAAACGACAAGACTTTTGAAGAAAAACCAGAGACAAGAAAATTTGAAGCGGTTAGAGCACGCATGTTTTCCAAGTACATTACAAGAAGCCAATCCTGTTCCGGTGCACGAGTTGCCGCCGCAACCGCAGTCGCCAGCAATAGAGCTTTCTCCGAATAGTGACGTACTTGTAAATGAAACTCCATCTACTCGATTGAATCGGAACACTCTGGCGCTGCCAACAGTAGCTAAGGTGATCGGTATGGATTATCAAGGTGATCTACTGCTGCAGTCGCTTCGGCGGTCTTAGCTGACGTAGGATTGGTATCTTCTAAAGATTTAAGCCTTCTTATCGATAAGAATAAAATTCATAGAGCTGTTTCTAAAGCATGGACTAAGGCCGAGAAAGATATTGATGCTATTGTAGTAAAAAGTATCTACTTTGATGTACGAAAGGACAAAACACTCATAAAACGATAAAATAGGCGTTCAGTACCATCGCGAGAAGTCTTGCAAGAGCACATTTCAGTTCTCACAAAGCCGGGATCTATTTATTTGGGTCATACGACGCCAAGTCGTAGCACTGCCAATGAGATTCTGTCATATATTTGTTAGAAAGTCAAGGGTTGAACTTGGAAGAGGTGATCTGTGTGGGTTGCGATGGTACTGCGAATACGAATACAGGTTGGAAGGGAGGTGTTATTCAATAAATAGAAAACAATTTAAAGATACCGTTGCAATGGTATGTTTGTATGCTTCACGCGAATGAATAACCACTTCGCCATTTATTCATGTCTCTGGATGGTAACACATCTGGGCCTAAAGAATATTCAGGACCAATTGGAAAACAGCTAGCTATTTGTGAAAATAAACCTCTAGCATCTTTTTGTGCAGTGGCTGACAATGTGCCCAAATTATCTAATAATATTATGAAGGAACTAAGTACGGATCAAAAGTATCTCTACGAAAAGTGTCATGCTGTAATGACTGGTTCCTGTTCCCCGAAGCTAGCGAACCGCCAACCTGGGAAGAAGGCGCATTCGAGATGGCTCACTACTGCCAATCGCATACTTAGATTTTATGTAAGTACAGTTTCACCGTCAGATAATTTGTAACTGCTTGTGAACTACGTGGCTAAAGTTTATGCCCCTATGTGGTTCCTCATCAAACAAACCTCGTTCTTTAAAAATGGAGCCAAGCCATGATTAATGCCATGTTATTCGACGATAGTGACCACATACGAGAACTTGCATCCACAATACTATATTAAAGGCCAGAGAAGTAGAAAAGAGTAACTCTCGCAGAGTATTTAAATCACCAAAGCTTAACTTCTGTGCAAAAGATTACATTAATATAATATTGACAAGAGTGTGAGATATCGGCTCCACTAATTTTGCGACACATCTCCAACGATGACCTTAGAATGAAGGCTAAAGAACACAGCCTCGACATTGTTGACTTCCCCTGTCATACACAGGCAGTGAAAAGATATGTTAAAGTAGTGACGGAGGCTTCTCAAAGCATACAGCTCGGGATGGTTTCATTAGGAACAGATTAATATCGCGCGCGGAAATGCCTAATTTTGGGCAAAAAAAAACAGTTCCGTTTTTAAAATAGCCACATATTACTTGTCTTTCAACTATTTCAAACCTTGCTTTGACTCATTATTGTGCCCATAAATTTAATAAAATCCGTTTAAACTTTATTTTTGATTGATTTATATTTTGAACCCCTAAAAAGGAAAATCTGAAAACCTTCAAGGACCGATAGAGGCCCCGAGATGACAGATATCTAATAAATTTTTAAGATAATCATAATATATGAGTCAACACTCAACTTTGAGTAACCGTATCTAGAAATTATTTTTCCCATACATGGACGGGACACCCTAATTGACCATCCTTGTTTTTAATACAGGCCCTTAGACGATTGGACCCGTCATTAATTTCGCTTTGGCTAAGTTCGCTTTGGTGACTCGCAAGTTTGGGTGGGACTTTCGGCAGGCCCTGAGCTCCTATTGAGTTCATAAAGAATAATCCAGCGGGTTGAGGTCGGGACTGGAGAAGGGCCACTCTTCCACCACGATGAAGGCCGGCACATTCTCCCTCAACAAAACTTTGTTTTATTTTTTTTCAAAAGAATTTTATACATAGGTTTAAACTCAATATTACAATTGAGTAGCTTCTGTGTCTGAATGAGGTTTATATTCTAAACCTGAATCTCAGGCTCCAGCGCTCACTCCCTCATTATACTAAACTTGGGTGCTTTTTGCCTTATGGGATGGTGCAGAGTATTGCTGATAAACCAAATCTTTGTTGTGAAATAACATATCAGACAGGGATTTCACCACGGGCTCTAAATTGTCACTCTGATAATTCTTGGCTCTCACCTTGACATCTTGTTGGCAGAAATGGAGCAGAGTGATACTTTCATACGAAACTCCCCACCATACCATCACACTAGCCGGGCGATGACTGCACGAGACATTCTGTGCGGACCCTTACTCCCCCTTAAGCTTCACAACGCCAGACACACCCCAACCCCCTCATTTGGCATCCCCTCTCGGCTACCGCTACCCGTAATAAACCCGGGACGGTAGCCGAAAACCGTGGCGTAGCGACCCCAGCCAGGAAAACAGCCAAAACTGCGCCAGGTGACTCTCCAAGGTGAGCCAGTACCACCCTACAACCCACCCTACTTAAAATGGTTTTATTTCATTATACCTCTATGTTGTGACTGCGGTGTATTCGACGTCGAGTTAGTCGCTGATTTTATTAGAGAATAACACTGATTTGCCTTAAATTAAATGAACGTTAATAAAAATATCAATACTGTTAATGAATGAAACAAGTTCAATTCTTATTAATCTTATTATAATCACAGTTATTCCTTTATCTATTCTATACAGAATGGGGAATTATTTATATGGGAAGATGCAGAAGACCTTTATCAACAGTATATCTACCATTGCAGCCCGTTAGTGAAGTGGTCGGACGAGTTACGGGCTATTTAACGGGTTATGAGGAAAGATTGAAAGTAGCTGAAGCAGTTGTCAAAGAAAAGGGGAAATGATAATTCGACGTTGCAATAAAATACGCCATGAAGAGAAATACTTAATTTCAAAATAAACATTTTCTAATTTTGTGCGATAAAAAGTCATTATTTTTGGGGACTACTCTAAAATTAAAACGTATAAATCGTAAAATATTATTACTCAGTTTTATTGTATTATGAGATAATATATCATATTAACTAGGTCAAGAATTATGCCGAGATTTTTGCACTTATTATATTTTTAAAGTACTTACTAGACCTTTATTTATTTATTTAAGACTTAATACATAACTGTCCTATGTAGGCGGACTCGATGTCTTGGGCATTATCTGTCAGTTAACCTTTGGGTGATGTGAAACCAATAGAAAGTTAGTAAGAGTACGCTACCTCGTATGAAAGTCGATTAACCTCTCAAAATTCGCTCAATAGACCCACAGAGGCTACATTGTACGCTCACGTAGGACGATGAGACCTTCGAAGTTGTAGCCGAGTCACTGGGACACCGATTCGCAATACACTACTGTTCCTTACTATTGTAATCACAGGATGATCAATTGATCCTCAGAAAAAAGTATAATAGGATCCACTATCCTCTGAATGATTGTATATTATTAAAATTGATTTTTTCTCGGACCTTTCATTCATTCAAGACGCACACACACACACACACATATAGAGAGAGAGAGAGAGAGAGAGAGAGAGAGAGAGAAAGAGAGATAAAGACAGAACTTTGTTGTATTGTTACTCACTCCATAGTAAATAGATAATTATATATATGTAGTGTGCGCTCATTGAACGAAAAAATAACTTGCAACACTTCAACGGGTTGTGAGCGTTTTTATTAGAGCCATAACATGAATTTCACTTTATGGATGTTTTACTGTGACCACAACGTGTTGTGAACTATTTTACTATTTTACTGAGTAATACGGGTCTAAAAACCTATACAGGCACCAATCTCCCACAAAGCCAATATATTGCTTTATTTGTAATTATACTTTGTTATGTAACCTTGTTTATTTATTAATGTTTTCTGTGGTGAGAAATATTCTTATTCTATGACACAGTGATCAACATTGTTTCCAACTCAATGTACTCTTTCACTACGACTTCGTTATATGAGCAGTATTCAGAGTGATTCATTCCACCATTACATCAGTGTTAACAATAACTTTATTGCCTACTTTCGTATCTACAGGGATAATACGGGAAAATGTCTTCAGAATAATGCACTGACATGGAATTGAAATTTATTGTATTAATATTAGCAATTCACGCTTCTTTCTATGATAAATAGCACTGCCGATGCGGCCTCCAAAGTTTCGAGGGGAAATACCAGATGTACTGATAATGCGTATTTTTTAAATCACATTGCCTATTTCTGTTAAAAATAAATTACATTGTCAATGAAAAAAAAATCTTAATTGACACTACAAATGAAATAAAGTATAAGACTTTTCTAGTTTAATTGAAAATTTGACAAGTCGCTACAAAGTAACGACATCTTTTGTAGTGAAATTTTTCGATTTGAATAACGGTGACCTTTCTTCAATTAATGAGTAAAATTGATTTTTCCTAGTTGAAGATTTTAAAAGGTTAAAATAATAATTACAATAACAAAGAGGTAATGGAATACTACAATTAGCTAAGAGACGGGTAATAAGAGATATGTACAAAAAAACAAGCAATAAGAGACGGGAGATAATTCAAGCTAGTTTACTTTTATCGTGTTTTGATTTCTGATAAAAATATACTGCATGAATTATATAATCGTTATTATATGCACTTTGTATTACTTTGTACATGTAAGACATGTTGATCTGGGTGCAAATCAAATTCATAATCAATATATTAGAGTAATTTAAAAAAATACAAAATCACACAAGATAAAAAGCTTTGAACATACAAATACATAACCTCCTTTAGCGTCTTGCTGCCATAATATAAAACTTGAAATGTGATTAAAAGTCGCAAAAAAATCACGTTTGTTGTTGTCAAAGTTAACTACAAGACTGTCAACATAACACAGCAATATGGAAGTTCTTTCTTATTTGTATTTTTCATAGTTATTAAAATATTATTTTCGAAATTTATTGTCAATTAATAATGTTTTTGTATCACCAAAAATAAATAATACGATGGTTTAAGTTTTTTTACTGTTATTTATATCTACGTAACTGATGAAAGCGGATACACACTGAGTAACACGTTTTTTTTCTATTACCTCTGAATTGAAACGTAGGACGCTTATCGAATTGAACGAATACAATGAATATTTAATCAAAAAACAATTTGCCAATAAACGCCGAACTCGATTCGGGCCGCACATTATCCAAACCTTATTTTATATATTTATTTTTTCGGTATCTGAAAATGGTTGATATTATAATATAATAATAATAATTTTATTTTCCTCGAATTGAATTTACAGTCCAAGTTAATGCAGTTAGTTAAGAAAGCTAATATGCGGTGAACTAAGGCTATATTTTATCCAGAAAAATCTATGCTATGGTAATATTATAAAAAGAAGAGATTTGATTATTTATTTGTTTGTTTGTTTCCAACGAATAGACTCCGAGACTACTGGACCGATTTTAAAAATACTTTCACCTACATCATATGCAGTGAACATAGGCTATATGTTATCCCGAAAATCAGCATATAAAAGGATGACAAAAAGCTTTCCCCGTGTAATATTTTTGAACTTATGTGTCCCATAAAAATGCTGTCGTCCTTCAGTGTATTGCACTAGCGTACATTCGAACAACAGTTTTTCACATAACTTGTGTTGTGTTGTGATTGTACTTGTGTTGTGTCTCAAAAACCGTAGAACACCATTTCTTTCATCTGATTGTAAATTGTTTTCACATAGTAGCGTAATTTTAAAAATTGCGTTGCGTTGATTACATGGACTCAAATAGAGAAAATTTTCGTTGCATAAACTTTTACGATTTTAAATGTAATTTGACAACTCAGCAGAACCTCGTTCGGCTTCATTCTTTTGGCATAGAAAAATGTATAATTTATGAGTCATTTAGCATACAGTACCGACCTGTCACCGCGTGACTGTTTTCCATTACCAAACATCAAGAACCAATTACGTAATCAACGGTTTTCATCACCAGAATAGGCTGCCGAGCAGCATGAGAAACATATATGACGTCACCACGGAATAGTTTAAATAGTTAAAATTGATTCAGTCCTATGGAAAAGTGCATTGACGCAAAATAATAATATTTTGAAATAAAATAATTTTATTTTTGGCCATTAATGGTACTGTTTTACTTGCTATAATCCACGGCTTCACCCACGTGGTCCGAGGGTAATATGTGCACACTGGCCTGCTATACTGGAGTATTAAACTAAACTTAATTTAAAATCTGCCGACACGTACACCGTACTATTATCCATAAAAATCGCAAAAAAGTCACGTTTGTTGTTGTCAAAGGAGTTGTTCGAAATTTTCGAGTTAAATACATTGGTCGACTATTACTCGTAAATTGGTAGAACTAACTTAAGTGTAATAGTTACTACCGTAATGTTTGAGTTTACATTTTTTTTTATCCTCAACTTTAAATGTAAGGGTACCCGAAATAAAATTGTTGTCAAGATTTTATTTTACTTTTTTGTCGGCATGATTAAAGATTACACTCATGCTAAATTACACCTTTCTAATACAAATAGTTTTTGAGCTAACTGTAGACAGACGGACAGACAGACGCATATGACGAAACTATAAGTGTTCCTTATTGACTAGGGAACCGCAGAATTCTAAATAAAAACAATAAAGAAAACAAACATTAAAAAATACCAAAACCATCGTTTTAAAAATACAGTAGCTTCATCTAGCAAAAACAGCTAATTGTAGCATTTAATTTTTTCGCTCGATTAACAATTCTCCATTAAATTATGTTATTGGAAAAACCGCAAAATTAATAACGAAAGCTAATTTTATTGATAAAAATTCGAAAAAGTGAAAACTAAAAACATAACAAATATCAAAATCCCGTTTTAGCCGCTAATTACAGTAGCGTTATCTAGTGATCAGTAGTTCTTGAGATTATAGAGTTCAACCAAACAAACAAACTCTTCAGCTTTATTATTACTACTATATAGATATAGATTAATTCCTGAAATTTTTACGGTGCTGTGCTTGAGAGTTGTCAGTTTAAAGTAAAATATCAAAATAATCCAGATAAAAATCCGGATTAACATGATATGTACCTCAAGGTCTATTCTATTTCTACAGCAAAGAAATTTTGTTTATTTTTAAAATATTAAACGGACTCGAGTAGCTCGGTGGCGTAGTGGATATGCGCCGCGGCATGCGATCGTTGTCGTTAAGCAACTTTCGCAAAGATCGGTCACGGGATGGGTGCATTCGTAGACGTTAATACCCGCCAATCCGCATTGGGCCAGCGTGGAGGGTCATGGCCCATGCTTCTTAACCATCCATACGGAAGGCATGAGCCCCTGCATTGGGGACGAAATAAAGGGCTGAAGATGATGATGATGATGAAACGGACTCCAAAGTAACGCATTTTCAATAATTTATGATGCAACCGCGATAGTACTTTACACTGCCTCTGATAAACAGATAATTTTAAGAGATACGATTTCAAAAAAATTATAATAACGCTTCGAAATTTTCCGAAAGTTTGATCAAGGACAGATAAATAGTCCCTCAGGTATCTTGGTAATTCGTACGCACCTACACCAAGTAAGTATTCAAATACAAAAGGTAAACTAAACTCACAAAAAAAGTAAAATCACAAACGTAAAGGTAAAGGTAAAGGTAAACTCACAAAACCAATGTTTCTATAACTGATCTGTGTCATTCTAGCCATACGTCACAATAAGCAAGCCCATATACCATTGCCCGTAATATTGGCTGTGACATCTCCCACCTACGAGTAAGGAATCCGTCCGTTGAATATTAATGCCGGTCCACTTTGACCC